TATTTTTGATTATATAATAAAAATTTTTTTTTTGCAAGATTTGTTTCTGTTATTCTCAAAATTGTTATTTCTTCTCTTTTTGCCTAGCTAAATAGACTTTCCAATTTTCATATTTTAGTTTTTAGTCTATTAATATTGTGGCATGCTATTTATATCTTATTACTTTTTTTTTATTTTTCTTTTAATTAGTTCTGTCTTGTATCTTTATTATTTGCTTTTTCTTTTTCTTTTTTGTTATTCTTAACTTTCAAGCTATAGGATACTTCTTTACTTTTTTAAAAAAAAACTTATTTCTTATTTTGTAGAAGTTCTCAATCTCTTTATCTATATTTATAGATTTAACTAAAATATTCTTAGAAGCAATTTGCAAAATCTTTTTTTATGCCTAACTGTAAGTCTTCTAGTCTATCCAATTTATCTAAAATTCAGACTAGAATGTTTTTTATATATGATTTTTAGTTAAAATTTTATCTTTAATCTTGTTTTCTTTTTCTTTTAGTTTTCATCTTTTTTTTCTGTATTAGTCTTTTTGTTTACTAATTATTCTTCTAAATTCTAACTAATATGCTCTATTTCTATATTTTTTTTATTTAAAATTTTTTGTTTTATGCTTCTAATTTCTAATAATTTTTATCTTTCTATTTTTATTTTAAATTTTTTATATTTTCTACCTCTTGACTCATTTTTTTTTCTTTTAAGTTTTTTTTTTTAGTTTTTTCTAGCAAACTTGATGATTATTGTATCAAATTGGTGATAATTGGGTCTTTTCTGCTGTCTAAATATTTGTAAAAATAATTATTACAAGATTTTTTTGATTATTATTTCTATTACTTGGAATATATACTCTTTTAACTTTTTTGCTATTAAGACATTATAATAGAAGCACTTTTGAAAACTTTTTTAAAATATCTAATAACTTTGTTATGTATTGCTCTTATTTATTTCTTTAGCAATAGTTATTATTTCCTTTTGTTAAATGTGCCAGCTTGTTATTGCCAAGTAGTAATGTCCAAGATATGTTTTTTTCTTTGTCTAGATTTACTTCTATTATTGCTAAAGCTTGTATAAAAATTTTTTAACTTGTATTATGTTTATGTTCTTAAAGCTTCTGCATATATACTTAATCTTCTTTTTTTTTATTGATATTTAGTAGCAGATCTTATATTGTTAAACATTTTTGTTTACTTTATTTAATGTCTTCTTTAGTTTGTTCTAAGCTTCTTTTTAGCTAATTTTTTTTGTATAAAATTCTCTTTTTTTTTATATTTTATTAGTTTTTGTTTTCTTTTTTTATTTAATTTTTTTTAATATTTTTTCTTATTTATTTTTTTGTATTCTGTCTCATTTGGTATCATTTTAAACCATTCTTCATACTTTTGGTTTAAATACCTATTACTTCTTTTCTTTCTTTTTCACAATTAAATTGTATTTCTATCTAACTATTACCTTTTTTAAATATTTTTTTTATACTTGTAATATGTTTGTTTATATTTAAAACCTATTTAACTATACTAATTTTTTCTTTTTTGTTTTATCTGAAACATTATATAACTGAATTCTTGTATTAGTTAGTATTTTATTTTTATATGATCTGTTATCTGATATTCACATATTTTGCTTCAGTGATATCTTAAATATTTCTCTTTGAATATGTATTTTTTCTTTAATACTATATTTTTTTTTTCTTCTAGTTTTAAATCTTATCTTAATACTTTCCTATTCATTTTTAGTTCTTCTGTTTCTTGCATTTGTATTATTTTTCTTAAACTTTCTTCAGTTATTAGAATTTTTGTTTGAATCTCAAACTTATTATTTATATTTGATTCTTTTTTTTATATTATAAATTACTTATTTTCTTTGTTTATTTCATTTGCTGTTTGTTATTTAATTTTTGATAAAGGAATTTTTTTTTTTAAGTATTTTGTTTTTTGTATTTTTCATATTTTTAATTTTTAGTAAATTTTACTTATTTAGTTAAACTCTTCTGCTTATTTTTCTATATTACTTGAATTATTTATATTAATTTTGATTATTACTTTATATATCTTTTTTAATATTACTATTTTTATTAAATTAGTTTTTCATAATGATGCTGCTATAACATCTCTAATATTAAAGAAGTTATCTCTGTTTACTAATTTTAGTTTTAGTTTTCTGCTGTTTATTTGTTCTAATTTTTATACTTATTCTCTCTTTTATTAAATTTAATATCAATAATTCTTCTATTTTTGTTTGTGTTACTATATTGTTTATTATTTATACTATTTTTTTCAATATTTTTATTTTATGTGTCTAATGTATATTCATATGTTTCTTTTATTTATACTTATATATTCTTATTTAACTATTTTTTTATATGTATTTGTTGTTTACTTTTGTTTGTTTTTGTATAACTAATTAATTTACAGAAAAAAAATCAATAAGAATTTCTATTTTTCTAAAAAATTTCAAAGTTTTTATCTAAAATTTTTACTTTCTTGCTGTTATTTGTTGTTGTTCAGATTTTTTTTCTGCTTTTTAACTTGATTATTTGTAATTTTTACTTCTCTGTCTTTTTTATTAGTGCCTAAAATGTTATTGTTTTGTATACTTTTATGTTTTTTCTGTTTTTTGCTTTTTATGATTTTTGGTCAAAAGATCTACAGAAAAGAGTATTAATAAGACTTGTGTTTTGCTAATTATCTTAATATAAATTTAAGTAATCACAAAAATATAAATAAAAAAAATGAAAAATCCAAGTTTCTAAAAATTTTACTAAAATAACTATTTTTTTGCTTTTAGGTAAAATTGTTCATTACAAAATTTTGCATATAAGTACTAAAAGATTTAAACATATTTTTTAAATTAATCCTAACCTTAAAAATATTTACAAAATATAGTACATTTTTTAGAAAAATTCGTGTGGTGCGCGATAAATAAGAGTATCGCGCTATGCGATGTATATATTTATCCTAAATTATAAATGCTTCCTAAATATGTCAAAGGCAAACAATGCTTTTAATACGTATACGTATAGTTTCACTAAATAATACGTATTATTTATATATCAATATGATAATCATGGAACAATATATAATGCATAATAAAATTTTAAAAGCTAACTGAATAAAGCATATATATTCTTATTTGACCATTACAATGATTATTCTGATCGACAGTGAATAAATGGTCATGGATGATGCCTTACAAATACAGATAATAATGATTTCCTAATTAGATCAATAGTAAAAACACGTAAAATTCAAACTGCAATAACTTTTGAACCAGCAAACTTACACAAATAATATTATAGTTTAATTATTTTTATTGTTTGGAGGACTTAATTTCTGTGCAAAATGATCGTTCTTGATATATTTTTAATAAAAATATCAAGAACGTACCTTTGGTGACATTATGCAATAGTTCAATCGATATTTTTATTAAAAACACATCAAAAACAATCATTTTGCATGGAAATTGAGCCCTCACTATTCTCTAAACAATAAAAATAAATAAATAAATTGGCATTGTTACTTTATAGAACATGCTAAATGAACCTGACAAATAAATTTTATTTATGTAGGTTTGCTGGTTCAAAAGTTATTGTGTTTGAATTTTAAGTTCTTTTTTACTATTATAATTAAGGGATCGTCAGTGTTATAAATTCAAAAATTTTTATTGGCGCAAACAAAAAAAATGCGTATAAAAATTTTTTTACGTGCTTTATATATATTGAGAGCACTGAAATGTGCGCAAATTTAAATCTATGCACAATCATTTGCGCTGTTTGTAATTAGACAGATATAGAACACCCCAACGATGCCTGCTGTTTGATCATCTTGTAATCGAGGATACGCTCAAGCCAGGTAATTTTTTTAATTAATAAGCGAAAAACGCAAATACCAATTGTTTATCAATAGCTAATTATGCGCATAGTTATTTATTTGTGCATCCGGGTAAAAGCCACCCAATTTTCCATGAAAATGTATCCATGCTGTCTGTTCCAGAACTTAACAGGTCTTTACGGCGGCTAAAAAATTTTCCGGTAACCGAATCGAAAAGTTACTAACGTCAAAAACTTATCTATTTGGTAATTGCCAGTTTTCAAGTGTCCTGGAATTTATGAAAACAGCTGTAATACAGATCTAACATATAGATATCGATATGGATATCTATATAAGACTTTACGCCTTACCATATCAATATGGCCCTCGTTTGACGAACTCTAATACTTACAGCCACCTGATTAATTGAACTTTCGGATAATTTTGAGGGTTGTTTTATAAATACATTGAGTCACTTGACCTGAGATAAGAATACTATCTTTGTTAACTGGAGATTCAGATACGACCAATAAAATTGCCTTAGTAATATAAATTTTCCGACTGATAAACGGATTTTACAATAGGTTTTGTGCTCTGCTATACATGCCTTTAGTAAACTGTCACAAATTTCAGAATTGGATATTTATATTATTTTATCCATATCGATATTGATACCTAATATGTGTTATATCTAAATAGAAAATTATTTAAAAAATTTTAATCAAGATTTATGATCGATATACTGTATGATACCCTAAGTTGTACTTATAAATGGGTCCTGCACCAACGTCAAGTATTCAAAAATGACGTAAATCCAACAGAATACGCATTAAAGTTCTATTATAGATGTTATAGTAAAGCGCAAAGCATAATTACTAATGTATTTTCATATGGTTAATTGATGTGCGTATGTATGACAAACCGTATTTCTCGATCACGCAATTTCCGAGCTGTTTTGTATCATTCTTTTTGTAGTTGTTTAATAATAAATAACAAAATCTATTCATTAATAATCAAAATTGACATGAAAAGTATAAATATTGATCGAACGTTACTTCTGACTTGCAAGATAACTAGCAAAACCGAATCTTTTTATAGCAATTTACTATACTTATTCAGATCCCTATAAAAAATTAACCATTTGATTTTACAAAAAAAAAAACCAAAAAAAAAAAAAACCGATCATCGTTAATAAAAATGACACCAAACCTTGTTAATAAAGATGCAATTCTCAACGGATCGTTTACAAACGGTTATCATGAACTGAATGGCATTCATGATGATGCCGAAATATTTAATGGATCGTTTGCAAATGGTTATAATGAGCTAGATGATAGTATTCATAATGATGGAGAGATTCCAAACGAATCATTTATAAACGGTCATCGCGAATCGAATGGAATTCAAAGCAATGGCCAAATTTTTCATGAATCGCTTACAAACGGTCATAATGAGCTGAATGGTATTCATGGTGAATCATTCCTTGCAGAACTAGGATTTGGCACAAGGGCTATTCACATAGGACAGGACCCTGATCCATACACTGGTGCTGTTATTCCTCCAATATCTTTATCAACTACTTTTAAACAATCTTCAATTGGTGCTCATAAGGTACATATTCGATTGTCTCTTGAAATAAATACAATACTGGTACTAAAATTTTTATTTTTTTTTATTCCTTATAGGGTTACGAATATTCTAGATCAAGTAACCTACAAGAAACACGTTTGAAAAAGCAGTTGCAGCATTAAAAAAAGCAAAATATGGCATTATGTTTTCATCTGGGTCTGTTACGACTGCAACTATTGTTACAACCGTGGGAACTGGCGGTCATATCATATCAGTGAATG